CCTTTCTTGTGTCCTTGAAAATGGAGGAAGAAGGAGGCTCAACGGGAATCACGACTCCCATCATCGAAGGCGTCCTCGAAGAGTTCGATGACGTGATGCCATCGGAGTTGCCCAAGAAGCTGCCACCAAGAAGAGAGGTGGACCACAAGATCGAGTTGGAGCCAGGAGCGAAGCCCCCTTCGCGAGCACCATACCGCATGTCGCCACCGGAGCTAGAAGAGTTGCGGAGGCAGCTCAAGGACTTGGTGGACGCAGGCTACATGCGGCCATCGAAGTCACCTTTTGGAGCACCGGTGCTGTTCCAAAAGAAGAAGGAAGGGTCGTTGCGCATGTGCATCGACTATAGAGCCATCAACAAGTTGACGGTGAAGAACAAGTGGCCGATTCCCAACATTGGCGATCTGTTCGACCAGCTTGGAGATGCTATGTGGTTCACCAAGCTAGATCTTCGCTCGGGCTACTATCAAGTGCGGATAGCAGAGGGCGACGAGCCAAAGACAGCTTGTGTGACGAGGTATGGCTCTTACGAGTTTCTTGTGATGCCATTCGGTCTCACCAACGCACCAGCCACGTTTTGCACTTTGATGAATCAAGTGTTCGAGCCATTCTTGGACCGGTTTGTCGTGGTCTACTTGGATGACATCGTCGTGTATAGCAAAACACTCGATGAGCATGCCGAGCATCTACGCCAAGTCTTCCAAGTCCTTCGCGACAATGAGTTGTACGTCAAGAGGGAGAAGTGCACATTTGCCGCCACGGAGGTTCCATTCTTGGGGCACATCATTGGTGGAGGCAAGTTGAAGATGGATGGAGCGAAGGTGCAGGCAATCCAAGAATGGGAGCCGCCGACGAAGGTGCCAGAGTTGCGGTCATTCCTCGGCCTTGCCAACTACTATCGGAGGTTTATCAAGGGCTACTCCAACATTGCAGCACCCTTGACGGATCTTTTGAAGAAGAACAAGGCGTGGGATTGGTCGGAAAGGTGCCAAGAAGCATTCGAGGCCTTGAAGCAAGCAGTGGTGAAGGAGCCCGTGCTCGTGCTCCCCAACCCAACGTTGGCCTACGAAGTGCAGACCGATGCGTCCGACTTCGCGATTGGAGGAGTGTTGATGCAAGATGGGCATCCCATTGCCTTCGAGAGTCGGAAGCTTAGCGAGACGGAGAGGCGATACACCGTTCAAGAGAAGGAGATGACGGCCGTGGTGCATTGCTTGCGCACATGGAGGCACTACTTGTTGGGGTCAAAGTTCGTAGTGAAGACGGACAACGTGGCAACGAGCTACTTTCTTACGCAGAAGAAGCTCACCCCCAAGCAAGCAAGGTGGCAAGACTTTTTGGCCGAGTTCGACTTCGTCATGGAGTACAACCCAGGCAAGGCGAATTCCGTTGCCGATGCTCTTAGCCGCAAGAGTGCAGCCGCAAGCGTCAGCCAGCCCATGTTTCCTTTGAAGGAGCGGATCGTTGAAGGCCTTGGCCATGACCCCTTCGCCAAAACCGTAGCGGAGTACATCGAGCAAGGCAAGACTCGACGGTTTTGGATGAAGGATGGGCTCATCATGACCAAGGGAGAGCGAGTGTTCGTGCCAAGGTGGGCCAACTTGAGGAAAGAGATCATGAAGGAGTGCCATGACTCCAAGTGGGCGGGCCACCCCGGCATCGAGAGAACGCAAGCGCTCATCGAAGAAGCATACTTCTGGCCGCGTATGAGAGACGACGTGGAGATGTATGTGAAGACTTGTCTTGTGTGCCAACAAGACAAGATGGAGCAGAGAAGCCCGGCAGGCTTGCTAGAGCCCTTGCCCACACCTCAACGACCATGGGAGAGTGTAAGCATGGACTTCATCATCGGACTTCCCAAAGTCGATGGATGCGGTTGCATCATGGTTGTGGTGGACAGATTCTCGAAGTATGGAGTGTTCGTTCCCGGCCCAAAAGACATGACGGCAGAGGATGCGGCGCGACTATTCTTCAAGAATGTGGTCAAGTATTGGGGCGTTCCTAGCAACATCGTGAGCGACAGAGATGGGCGCTTCACGGGCAGATTTTGGCGGGAGTTGTTCAAGATCATGGGCTCAGCCTTGAACTTCTCGACGGCATTTCATCCTCAAAGCGACGGACAGACGGAGCGGGTGAATGCCTTGTTGGAGGTGTACTTGCGACACTACGTGAGTGCAAACCAACGAGATTGGGTGAAGTTGATGGATACGGCACAATTCTCCTACAACTTGCACCGCAGCGAGTCGACCAACACGAGTCCATTTGAGTTGGCGACGGGGCAGCAACCTTTGACACCTACGACGGTGGCAACGGGTTATAGAGGCAACAGTCCGGCAGCCTACAAGTTCGCTAAAGGCTGGCACGAGAAGATGGAGATGGCCAAGTCTTACTTAGCCCGCGCTAGTAAGAAGATGAAGAAATGGGCGGACAAGAAGAGGCGGCACTTGGAATTCGAAGAGGGAGACATGGTGATGATCAAGTTCTACCCTCATCGCTTCAAGCATCTCAAGAACGTGCACAAGGGACTGCTTCGCCGCTATGAAGGGCCATTCCCCATCGTGAAGAGGATTGGCGCGGTGGCATACAAGGTTGAGTTGCCGACGCACTTGGAGATCCATCCGGTCTTTCATGTGAGCCAACTCAAGCCTTTCCACGAAGACAAGGATGATGAGCAGCGAAGAGAGTCGCAACGCGCTCCAACACTCATCACCAAGACACACGACCATGAAGTTGAAGAAGTCATGGCGCGTCGTGTCATTCCTCGTCGTGGCGTACATCCAAGCTTTGTGGAGTACTTGGTCAAGTGGCGCAACCTTCCGGAAAGTGAAGCAACTTGGGAGAAAGAGCTTACGCTTTGGAAGAACAAGGACTTGATCGAGGCATTCCATCAAGAGGACGCGACGAGGGCGTCGCGAGCATAGGTGGGGGAGGATGTCACATGTGGCCGATGACATGGCGCCAACAAGGTGACAACAAGGCTGCACATGTGTCATGCATGGAAGACTAGTAGCATAGAGATGCTCCTAGGATTCTCCACCTTAATAGAGAGCTTAATGGTGCACTTATTAGCTACATTATGGTAGTATTTATAGAGTGCATAATGGGGGGACTTAATGGGTGTATTGATGTAGTAGAGGGACATTATGAGGGGCATTGATGCCTTGTATGAGGAGAGGCCTATATAAGGAGCCATCTCCCTCACTTGTAACTCATTCCATCATTTTTGAGAGTAATACACACTAGAGAGTTCTCCCACTTCCTCTGTCTTGTTCCTGTTCTTTGCTTTCAAGTGAGTTGAGAGAAAGGCTGCCTAGCGCTCTAACGGATTTGAGAGCTAGGGCCGCACGATCGAGAGTAAGGTCGTGACACCACCCCTACACAGCGGTAGAAAGAATAAAACCGCAAAATCGAACACCACTCAACGTAATCGTAACTTATTTCCACCCATCCTCATCACCGGGTCCAAACAAAAGAAAAGAAAAGACCCAACAACAATTATCTCCCCGGCCATCCCGAATTGCATATTATTTAATTCAGGAATAATGAGAGGAGAGTAACGGCTGCCATGCCATCCGTCTCTCTTCAATTGTTTGTAGACGGAAGAAATTAACCGATGACTGACTCTGATTCTTTCACGGGGGACCAGCAGGCAGCTAGTAGTGGATTAGAACGACGTCGCTTCAGTGCATTTAATTAAAACTTGCCTTCCCCATATCTGATTTTTACTTTTTTTTCCAACGCGTGTCTCATCTCATCTCATCTCATCTCATCTCATCGGCCCCATTCCATAAGCTAGGGGTGGGCGTTCGGTCGGTTCGGTTTGAACCGAACCGAACCAGAACATCCCGAATTTCCGAGCTTCCCAAGACCCCGACCGAATTCAAACCGAGTTGTAATTCGGTTCGGTTCGACCGAACCGAATTACAACTCGGTTCGGCTCGGTTCGAATGGTCAAAACCGAAACTTTATATACCAACTCTCTCTCTCCCAGTCCCACATACCCTAACCCTCGCCGTTTCCCCATTTCGATCAAATCTCTCTCTCTCCCTCTCTCTCTCCCTCTCTCTCTCTCTCTCTCTCTCTCTCCCTCCCCCTTCCAACAAACGCAGTCGATGCAGAGAAGAAAGGAGCGGTGCTGCGATGGTGGTATCTCCTCCGTCTCCCGACTCAGCGACGAGCAGCGGTGCTGCGGTGGTCCTCTCCCCTACTTCCTTCTCCCCTCTTCTGCCGCAACATGAGATCTGGGTATCTAGCTCCATCAAACGTCGACGGCTCCCCCGGAGGTCGCTCTCCGCTCCTATTGACGCCCAGCTCCCCGCTCCCCCATCTAAAACAACACTTCTTCTTTACCTTCTCTCTAGCCCCAAATCTGTTCGTCTCATTTTTCCTTGGTGGGGTGACGCTAATGGGCGGCGGCGGCAAGAGGAAGAAGAGATTGCTCGGCATGTGGAGATGGGGCGGGCATTGCTCGCGGCAGGGGAGGCGGTGGTCCAATCCCGTCGACGGCGCCGGCAATGGAGGGAGTCAGATCTAGAATTGGGTAAGATCTTTTCGACATGCATGTGGGTTCCTCGTTTGATTATCAGTACTGATTTTGATGTATGTTGGTTTTAGGTTTGGATTTGGGGTTTCGGTATCAAGTTTCAGGTCAGGGAGCTCAACCATGGAAGAAGGCTACCGGCGGCGGCTGAGTATCTTTTGTTGGTTGGTTAGATTTAGGCTAAGGGAGTTAGGGTTGGGGGAGAGTTTGGGCTTTGTATTTGTGTATGAACTTGGCTGGGTTTTGGTTGGGCTTTGGGGTCTGGGTTGGGGAGATTGTGAGTAGAATTTCGGTTGGTCGGTTCGAAATTCGGGAACTCGGTTCGGTCGTTACAACCTTGACTTCCGAATTAGGTCAATTCCTCTTCCGATTTCCGAACCGAACAACACTATTTCGGTTTCGGTTCGGTAGAAACTCGGTTCGGTCCGGTTCGGTTCGGGTTTACCGAACCGGATGCCCACCCCTACCATAAGCTATGGTAAGGAGACTCAAACGACGTCGCTTTCTCCGACTTCAAGTCCTTATAAAACCTCTTTATGAACTCGTCCGCCGCCTTGTCCACCTGCCCGCCGCCGTCTTCCCTCACCGGGAACGGCGAGTCCGTTATCCTTAGCTGCCTCATCATCGTCGGGCTCCTCCCGAACCCTGCCGTCATCGGCGAGGCCACCATTTCCTCGTTGAAGTTCAGCATCTCCACCATTCTCTGCACGACGGCCACCTCGTCGTACTTGGTCGTCGTCTTGCCGCGCTTGGTGAACGGGAAGAAGCTGATGGCGGCGGCGGGGCTGTTGCTGCAGCTGAACTCGTACTCACGCAGCGAGTCGGCGTCGTTCGACCGGCATCCGAAAAAGAAGCCGGACGGCTTGTGACTGTGGTGGGTCCCGGCGCCGACGCCGTTGAAGGTGAGGAAGTTGCCGATGGCCTTCCCGGCGAGCTTATTGCCCCGCTTGGCGATGAGGCCGCCGAGGTCGACGGCGACGCGACTCTTGGAGATGCCGCGCCGGAGCATGAAGTATACTACCCGTGCGATGTGCCAGAGCTTCTTCGCTATTTCCTCTGGCGCTTTCGGCTCCATGATGATTGGCTTTCTTTGTTTTTTTTTCCTAGAGAGAGAGAGAGGGAGAGAGAGATGTGTTTTTGAGTTGTGATTGTGGAGGAGGGGAGAGGAGAGGGGAGGGGTATATAAAGAACGGAAATTATGAGGGATGTAAAACCACTATTGGGTTCCTCGGTTTAATTGCTCTACCTAAAACCCATCATCTTAATAGTAACTTGGTTATATATATATATGGTTGAGCCCAGTGTACGCCCAGGCGTACGCTAGCCCCATTGAATTTTGCTATATAGATAATGAATTAACCGGAGTTTGGGGCATGATACTATACCCTAAACCCTTATGGGTGAATCCCAGTCTCCAATTCAATAACCCAAAATATGGGATTCGTTTAATCTTAAAAATGAAAATCAATGAAAATTTCGACGAATCAGGATCGTTGACTTTCATTTTTAAGATTAAACGAATCTCATGCTTTGAGTTAGTGAATTGGGGACTGGGATTCACCCATTAGGGGTTAGAGTATAGCATCATGTCCCAAACTCCGATTAATTCTTTGTCTAAATAGCAAAACTCAATGGGGCGTACTGTAGGCTAACGTACGCCCGCACGCTAGCCTTTGCCACATATATATATACATATATATATAATGGCCAGATCTTACATATGCATGATTTATTTGTATTAGAATTTTCTCACATATTTTGTTAAAATCGAATAAAATTGGTTGAACTCGATCCAACCATTAAACTTCAAATTACTTGTCATTAACCCAGATACAATTATAAACTACTGTTATTTACTATATAATTGTATGTGGATCGAATTAAATCAGTATAATTGGTAGGATAAGAAAGTAAAATAAGAAAATGGTGGGAATTATTTATTTGGATGTTTATGCGTGGAGTAACCCACGTACACGATCGATGTACGTAATGAGAAGTAGTGGGCTTTTTTGGCTTTTGGAGGTGAGCTGTTGGATATATTATCCGCCACAGTTTAATAATTAATTAGAAAGAAAGCAAAAGGAGAGAGGAGGGTATTAAGAGGTAACCTAGCCATGCCATCAAGGCAGGTGGACGACCAAAGATTCAAGGAGAAAAAGAAAGTGATACTTTGTTACTTTACTTTGCCCTACAACTTTGAAAGCATGGGCTCCAGCCTCCATGGTGTGTATAATTTGCTAATGCTTTTCTTCCTATGCTCAACATTCAGTATATTTCACATTGTTTTATTATATGAGAGGCTGGCTCCAAATAAACTATATCGTGGTTGGAGCTAAAAAAAGGTTTTAAGTGGGTACGAGAATTGTAGCCAAATGGTCCATTAGGCTCGTGTAGATGACCTAAATGTCTCAGATTCGATCTCCGGGTGGTATTAATAGTGCGTAGGTTCCTTGAGTAATACCTCGAGTCGGAAGAGTGTCTAAACTCTACTTGCAGAGTGGTTCGGCCCTCTTGGTAGTCTCTTCCAACAACTCATCCCCTATCCTTAGCGACATGGTTGTAGATCCGGATCACTAGTCTCGGAGTTCACACGGCAACAACATCGCTTGAGTGATGCATGTCGAAGGAGTTCCTTGTCATAAAATAAAAATTCTAATTAAAGTAATTTAGCAGATCAAGTGAGATGCAAGAAACTTAGTCAGTGGCGGATCCAGGGCTGGGCCAACCAGTGGCGGAGGCAGAATCCGAAAGTACCTGTATCCTCTTTCCATAATATAAAATAAATAAATAAATATTTAATAAATATAATTAAAACTAATAATATCTAAATCATGTATTCATATATATTAAATTATTAATGAAATAATAGACTAATACAATCATTATTTTCATAAGCAATCACAACACATTTTCAAATTCTCAATGTATCCGACTAAGCAATCATTAGCAAATTGGTCGCAATTCGATTTTGAAACTTGTTTTTAATATAGCTCAAAACTGAAATTGTTCTTTCTACACTTGCAATTGCAACGAGTAGAGTCAAAACTAACTTTAGAAGACAAAGAGATCGACCTTTATGTACTATGAATTTTGTTTATAGTGTGATACATTGATTTATGTTAGCTTTTAAACTTGAAATAACTTGTAGTATAGTGATAAAACACTTTTACATTACCTAAAGTCGATGAGTGCAATCCTTAATTGATACATATATATGAAGTATTTTATTTTACCCAAAAATTACCTGTGTCCCGGGACACATCCCATGCCCCCTAGCTCCGCCTATGGGGCCAACCCAGGCCCTGGCCCAGCCCTCCTTCGGATCCAGAGTTAGTTTAGTGCTTATAAAATTTTTCTATTTAGGTATTTGGCCCAATGCTATTTAAAATCCTGACTAGTTTTATTTGATAATAGGATTTTGTGTAACTAGGAAAATGGTTGGTTCAAATGAACATATCCAAACCATTACTCTAAATTTATACTAAATTTTCTATAGCCCCAATGACTTTATTTGAAAACAGACATGAAAACCTAAAAGTGTAAGTTTCATTAAAATAAAATAAAAATTCTAAACTAAAGTACACCCTTCCTAGCAAAATTCAAAAAAAAATCTCAAACCGCTTTTCTTGACATAAAATCAGAATCAATAATTCTTCTCACATCCTCTCCATAAAACAAACACAACAATGTATTTGTTTTCACTTTCTTCATAATAGTATCTACAAAATACTATAAGGCAATGTAAAAAAAAACAGTTTTGCCACGTCAGTCCCTTCTCAATAACCCGCACACTGCGGATGGGCCTTTCGGTAATTCCTCAATGTTTATCTTTCTAGACATCTCTGTCGCGGGTCTTGCCCAAACGTCCCAAAAAACTGGTGAACGGCTATTTGCTGCCAACCAAAGTGCTATTTGCCGCCAACTAAAAAAAAAAATATTTGAATTCAAATTTTGAATTTTCCCTTCCTTCCCTTCCTTTCATTCTATAAATTCGGATACCATTAACATTTGACTCATTCCAACAAAAACTTCTGTCGACGAGCCCAGTGCCTCCGTCGCCGGCACCGTTCCTCCCTCGCCGGCCAACCTCCCGTCGCCCTCAATCATCGGAAAACAAGTAAGTTTACTTTTTCCGGCGAAAAACACGACGGGCCAAAAAAAAAAATTAATGCCGGAATGCCGCCGAGCCGAAAGTATTTTTCGGTCCGGTGGCGCCGCGACCGCAATTTTTTTTCGGCTGGTCGCCGAACACGCCGGCCAAAATTTTTCCGGCGACATGTTCGTCGGCCGGCCGAAAAATTTTTGCGGCCCGACGTCGCAACGGCCGCAAAATGTTTTCGGCATGGTGGCTCACCAGCGGCAAAATATTTTCGGCTCGGCGGCGCACCGACCTCAAAATTTTCGGCCCCGCCGGTTTTTGAATTTAATTTAATGTGTTAATTAATTAGTCAATAAAAAATTACTTAATTAGTTAATAGAAATTAGCAATTAGTGTTAATATTTATTTAAGTGGTGGATAAATGTTTTTTTTGTAATAGGTGTATGAATGTTTAATTAATCAGATTAGTTAATAGAAAATTAATTAATTAATAATTGATTTAACAATTAATGTTAATATTCAGTACATTAGTTAATAGAAAATTAATTAATTTGTGATTAATTAACAATTAATGTTAATAGTACATTAGTTAATAGAAATATAATTAATTAATGCACATCTAAGTATGATATTGTGTAAATTTGTAGATAATTAGATATGAATGATGCGGGTGGGAGTGAGTTGCATAGATTCGATGGTAGGTTTGTTGATGCATCAACTCGAAGGAAGGTGCCTAAGAAGAATAAAGTGAAGAAGCGCTCTCGAGATATTGGACATCAGTCAGAGGCAAACTTAGGGGAGGATGAGTTAGAGGCTCCTACTGTAGTTGCTCGTTCGGCATCACGGACGTCTGGTTCCCATGGGAGGAACCAGGGTGCTGCATCGAAAGTGGTCTCGGATGAGTTTGATGAGGACAATACTGATGAGGATGTCCAGGTCCCCCCACCTACGCGTGGACATGGACGAGTACCGTCTTGTACGGCAACATCACGTCCTGCTATGTATAGGGACCAAGCTGGGCGATTCGTACCACCTGCTCGTGAGGAGACAGAGAGCTCGGGGACTGGACGGAGTAGGGGAGGACGTTCGAGTGGTCCTCCACCGTGGGAGCTTGTTGGTGAGTGTCCTGGTGGACCTACGGATCCTAGCCTCATTAGGAGCTTCTGTGGCCATGCTGCCTATGCGCTTTGGACGGGGGTTGCAGATCGAGGGGTCATCAGTTGCTACAGCCCTACATCGGCGGTTGAGTATCTGAGTAGCTACGTGTTTAGTCATGTTGAGGCGGAGGATCTGGTTCAGCAGTCAGGTTCCAGCACCTGATCTACTCTATGTTCCGCAAGATAGCGATTGACGAGGCTTTGATCTCAGCTTTTGTGGAGAGGTGGCAGCCAGACACGAACATCTTCCAATTGCCTTTTAGAGAGATGACGATCCTCCTCCACGATGTTCAGTACTTACTGCAGATTCCTGTTGAGGGACGACTGATGAGTAGGACTTCTGCGCAGCTTGACCATCCGGAGGTGGGTTTGTGTGCGCTTCTTGGGATGAACTCGGAGCAGTTGAGTGGTCGTTCGGAGGCCCCTGGATATGGTAATAGGGGTAAGTGGTACGAGAAGGGTGATTTTCTTGCGGAGATGGCGTCCAGATACTTGCAGGTGAAAGGGACACATGTGACAGAGGCGCAGTCGTACTTGTTGTTGCTGTTGGGGTCCACTTTGTTTGTGGACAAGAGTAGAGACAGGGTTCGGCCGGTGGTGAACCTATTTTTGGACGATTTGGAGGAGGTAGATCAGTACAGTTGGGCGTCAGGTACACTTGCTTGGTTGTACAGATACCTTGGTCAGGCGTCTCGTGCTGGTGCCAGGGGTCGGCTGGTTGTCTCACACTTCTGCAGTGTTGGATCTACGAGTACTTTCAGGGTTTCAGGCCATCTCACTTCGAGCCACCCGTCGTTGGACCTGATGAGGCTTGGGCTTCACGATGGATTGGGCAGCCGACACATGGTTTTGTGGCTGATCCCAGTGTGAGGTTGGTGTTCTACCGTCGAGCTCTTGACAGCTTGACCCCTTCTGATGTGTTTTGGACACCTTTCCATCAGAGGCCTCATAAGGCAGTGTGTCGCTCTTTGTACATCGGAGTGATCCGATTCGCTGATATAGGCGAGTTCTATGATCTAGCTCGTTGCCTCCGACAGTTTGGATACCGACAGATGGTACCGCCTCCCCCTTCATGTCCATTTCACCCATCTAATCCAATCTTGTCTTGTAATTTATGTTGTACATCTGTTTGATATCATGATGCACACCCCCTTCAGTATTGAGTGTCGTCTTCTGCTGATTTGGTCTCACCCCCGCCTTACTCATTAATCTTAACCTCTCTTTTTCAGCCTCACTAAACTGTTTGTTGTGTCGTTGATGTTCTAGATACAACACCTTTTCATGGTTGTGAAACCCTCTATTAGCTCCGGTTACACGACTTGTCACTCCCACTATGACCCATGTGTTTGGACCATTCTTTTGCCATACTTCCTTAATACATATATGAAACTGGCAACCAGTACCCTTCGAACTAATATTCCCACGCGTCTCCTTTATAGGGTCTGATTTATAAGACTTAACGATCCTACTGCTTCTGTCGCAATACATACAGAGGGCAGTAACAGGATGTAGTCCAGCTGTATTCGGTTTCCATGCTCCTCTAACAATAAAGAACCCACACTCCTGAGCGATTGCTTTTGCAGCTAACTCAGCTAACTTCACACTTGCATAATGGATCCCATTCTCAAATTCCTGTGTGTAATCATGATCGGCCGGTAACCACTCTGAAATTTTTCCTACAATTACAATATAACACATCAATATTCATGTGAACCTAAACGCTAATTTCAAGTCATAACCGCTAAATTCAACTCCTAAACTCTAAATTCAACTCCTAAACTCTAAATTCAATTCGTACATGCTAAATTCAACTCTTAAACGCTAAATTCAACTCCTAAACTCTAAATTCAATTCCTAAAATCAAAATTTTCCGACGAATTGCAACGAACAGACGGTGGGCCGAAAATTTCCGGCGGCCGGAACCAGGCAGGCCGACGAAATCGGTGGCCGGAGCCAGGCTGAGCCGAAAACATTTTGTGGCTCAACCTGGCTCCGGCCACCGATTTCCGTCGGCCCTGCCTGGTTCCGGCCGCCGGAAATTTTCGGCCCACCGTCTGTTCGTTGCAAATCGTCCGAAAAATTGTTCGAAACTACAAAAAAATTGACGCACCTGCTTAGTGATGATTCATGGATGCGTGTCCGCAGTTTACGTCGAGGATGGGCTTTCCCGATGATTTTCCGACGACTTTTCCGGCAAGCGTCGAATTTTTCTGATTCAATACGTTTTCTGAAAGTTGGATATGTTGTAGATTGTGAAACTCCTTAACCAAAGATGTACATACATACATATATATATATATATATATATATATATATATATATATATATATATATATATTTGGTTGGCGGCAAATAGCAAGCCCCAAAATCTGACCCATCTCTCTCTCTCTCACCTTCTGTATTCCAACCCCTCCCGGAAGAAATTCTCGGCGCGACCCTTCCCTTTTTTCCCGCCGCCGCTTCTTTCTTCCTCCCGCCGCCGCATCGTTCCCCCTGCCTTTAATCCATTCCACCATCGGACCTCAATCCCTATTTCGAAAATCGATTTGCAATCCACAAACTAGGATGGGCAAACCGGTTAATTTGTCAATTCTTTGCTGTGCCTCCCAAAATTACTATGAAAATCTAAATAAAAGGTTGTTGTCCTCTAAATCAAATAAGCTTTTCTACAATCTTTCTTCCAATTTTCAAATCAACTGATTTTGCAATTACCATACAAGCAGAACCAGAAATTGGATTTAAAGGCTCTCTTTTTCGGTAGAAGTTGAATGAGTTATTTGCAACAAGTTTCTTGAAATATATGATATTTAACTCAGGAAAATTCATAAACAAAATTTATGGAAGGACATCAAAAACTTGTTGCCGGGTGAACAGTCACATGAGAAGCGAAACAAAATGGCGGCTACAACCTCTTAATCCTCTTGAGACATGAGACAGGGTCGAGTAACAAATTCAGATGTCGATCAAAGAGCAAAGAGAAAATAGGCTAATCTCCATCTATCCCTTCCCTTGCCGGAACATTGAATCATTGGCCTGGTGTCGAATCATATCGTCTTCTTTCCGTCAAAATAACGTTACGATAGGAACTTGGCATGTCGATCACTTAATATATGATGAGATATGACTGAGTGAAAAGACTTATTTGGCTGTTACATGGTGGTGAAAAATTTAGGTTTTGCAGAGAAGCGGAAACGAAATTATAGCTAGCTTCCTCTGCGTTGTAGAAGAAAGAGAGAGGGTTGTGAGGGGGTGAGAGATATGGGTTGTAGAAGAAACTAGAAAGTGATCGGTGGTAGTGGATGAGGGATAAGATAAAAAAGAAATAATTAATAATAGTAAAATAAAAATGTAACAAATATTGACAAACGTATGATATCGACCAAGGTTCATTATGAATGGATATAAGATCATATAAACTATCTACAAATTTTGGTCCTCATTTACTAAATATATATGTTTACTAATTCTATTGAATAACGGCCAACAAAACAATACTATATTTCTATTAATATTGTCTTCGTATTGATTTAATTGAAACAAAAAAAAATTTGATTAAAATAATATAATGATTAGTAGTTATATTCGTGTACTTAATCTTGAATTCTTCTAAAATATGTTCTCTTGCGCTCTCGCTTCACAAATTAATTTACTATTTGATCTTAATTTTTCTTTGATTTGATCAGTATTCATGGAATCCAGAGACAAAAGTCTTAAATCAAGAAGCAAACTTCATACCATAGGCTTCGACATAAAAATTAACCTTGGATAGATAACTTTGAAGGTTGGAGAAATTCAAATCATACGGAAAGCATAAGAAATCACTAGCCTATTACAAGTATACAATTCTTTAGTGATAGTTGAGCGCATTAGAAAAAAAACTACCATTCAGAACTTAAAACTTAGTATGGAGTACTATGAAGAATCCAAGCCAAATTGTAAGCAAACCGTAAGAAAATTAAAGAAATGAATAAATAAGTTAAAAATTGGACAATATAATATTAGTTAGTATAAATATTGGATGTATAAATTAACCAATAATCTCGGTTTCTCTTCTTTTTCTCTCTCTTCTTTTCTCTGATTGAGTCGGCGATTTCTGCTTTACCGATGACGGCCGTCGCTGGCGGAGCCTCATCCGGCGCCGTTGGCGGCGGTCGCTCTTAGACTTCTCAGTTTGGAGCTTCGGCTGACAATCAATTGCAGTATTTTGAGCCGGAAATCGTCAATGGGTCACTTAGAATCCCTAAACCGTCATGAAGGAAGGGGTTAAACGTTTCGACAACTGCTTGGTAGGCCAATTTCTTCGTTCTCCTCCGTCTCTAGCAACAATTCGTTACTGGGCGAATTGGTTGTGGGGGAAGGAGGGTGAAATTAAGGTATCCTGGTTTGAGGATCGTTTGGTTCTATTGCAATTTCCATCTGCGAAGGTTTGTCGATGGGTTTTTGAGGGAGGTCCCTGACACTACAAGGATAACCTGCTGTGTGTGAGGAAATGGTTGCCAGGAATTCAGGCGCTGGAGGTGGATAATACAGCGGTGCCGATTTGGGTGAAGCTGTCTGGTATACCTGGGGAGCTTTCGTCAAAAGAGGGTTTGGGTCGTGTGGCTAGTGTGCTTGGCAAGCCCCTCTGTATGGATCAACCTACACGATTTGGACAAAAGGTGGGGGCAGCTAAGGTTTGTATAGAGATGAGTGTGAAGACGACATGGCCATCGAAGATCAGTATTACTCCGGATTCTATGAAGGAAATGTTCATCAGCGTGGAGTATTGTCATATCCCAGCTGTTTGTAGTACCTGTTGTTTATTTGGGCATAATTGTGCTGCTCCGCAGGGTGAGACTAAGAGGATATGGCGGAAGAAGAAGCAAGTCACAGTGTCTCTGTCTGAGACGACTGAGTTGAGTCATGCTGAAGAACTGGAGACACAGCTGGATCCTAGTGTCGTTACGTTGGAAGAGTTAATTGAGGGTCCACAGACTGTGCCTCCGCAACAGGATACACCACCAGTCACCCCTAGTGCTTTAACTTCTAATGAAGAATTCAACATGGTGGTTAATGGAGGTAAGCAGAAGGGTAAGGATATTATCTCGCCTATCCGATTATCAAATTCTTTTGCGCCGGTTTGTGCAAGAGGGATAGAGTTACAGAAACCACCTGCTAAGCCAAGTCGAGAGGGATTAAGGAGTCAGAAAGGGGTACCTCTGGTGCCTCCTTTGCTGAAATGACGGTCCTCATATGGAATGCGAGGGGTTTTAATCGCCCCAAGAAGCACAACTCTGTTATGGAGTGTGTGCGCAGATTAGGAGTAGTAGTCATGGCGATTCTTGAAACAAGGGTCCAGGAAAATAAAGCACGGCAGATACAAGAGAAATTTGTGGATTTTCAGTTTGAAGACAATTATAGTTACAATAAATTGGGCAGAATTTGGCTGGCGTGGAAGACAGGGGTTCAGTTGAGAGTGCTTGCTCGCAGTGCATTCTTTATTCATGCTCTGGTTTCGATTTCTAATACTTAACAATTGTTCTTAACAATAGCTTATGCTTCCAATGAGGAGGGAGAGAGGCTTAGTACTTATAGAGCATTGAGTAGATGGTGTGTGAAGGGATTTCCATGGGCTATTGGAGGAGATTTTAACGCTATTCTGAACCCTATGGAAGCGTCGAATGAAATAACCATTACAAATAGTATGCTAGCTTTTCGAGACTGGGTTGAGGAGATGGATATTGTGGATCATCAAGCTTCAGGGCCTTTCTTCATCTGGTCAAATCAGCAGCAAGGTAACCCGATTGCTAGGAAGCTAGACAGATTCTTGATTAATGAGGATTGGGATAAAATGTCAGATTCCACAGTAGAGTTTTTGGCACCTCTCTTCTCTAATCATTGTGGAATACTGATGCATCCGAGAGTGGTAAGAAAATCATTCCCTAAACCTTTTCGGTTCTTTAATATGTGGATGGATCATGACAAGTTCTGGGAAGTATTAACTAGCAGTTGGAGTACGCAGTGTTGGGGATCTCCACTGCAGAAGTATAAGAGGAAGATGGCAATGTTGAAACAGGAACTGAAGAAGCTGAATAGAGAGGAGTTCTCAGATATCTCTGGAAGGGTAAAGACTGCTGAGATCGAGTTGAGAAAC